GCTATACAAATACAGGCCGTTTACCACTGTTAATAGTGGCAAGCTAGGATATCATTGACCTCTGTTTTTGTCAGTTGCAAATTTCAAAATAAGAAGTTCAAGATTTGCGGCGTGAACTGGGTCAATTTAGTTAACAACTTAAATCAAATGTCCTGCTCCTTTTTTTAACATAAGCCGTGGCTTTTGTTAAGTCTATTTTTAGTCAGATAATACATGAAAGTTTTTCAGAAGAAAACTTGAAACTTTCTTGCATCTTTCTAAGCCTGGGTTCTCAGTGGCAGTCTCTGGTAACATGTTGTGTGGCCTGCAAGCACGACAAGGAAAGACTCCACCACTGTGTATTTAATTCATTCAACAGTCATGTCATATTATAACAGCACAGAATGAAGCCAACGGATCATGTCTCTTCAGTATTAACACTTCTGTTCACGCCATCATTGCAGACTCAACAGTGCCAACATACACAAATACAGCTGGAGTCAGAAAAAAAAACAGCCACCCAACTAAAGGCTGAAAAACCACAATGTAGCACAACAATTACACCTGCCAACATAAACCACTATTGTATATACAGGAACATTACAAACACTAACTAAAAGTGACTGATGCATTTTTTTTTCTGCCTCTCTGTGTTATGTGACTCAGTGGCTCCGTAGTGTAGTGGTTTACATATTTGACAAACAAGTGAAAGGTCTTTGGTTTGATTCCAGGAGGATCCACAAATCACTTTAGGTTTCGATCAGAGAAAGAAATCTGGCATAAAACATTTGCCAAATCTAACATGAGGCTGTGGCTGCTGTGGCGAACCCTTGTGAGAGGGCAGCAGGCCAAAATAGCTCTCTCTAAACTGCCATTCAGAACCCAGAACTTAGAAAACCATGCTCTAAATCAACTTTTCAATCAGTTTCCTGTATTTGAAGTTCTATTTCATGTGTAGGGGGAAAAGAAGGAACTGCAAGAAATGAACTTGATAAGTCTGCAAAAGAACAAATCTGTCCACTTGTTTCCCCGTGGATAAGCATACATGGGTAGTTGGTAATAAATCTCTGGCTGTCAAGTTAGTAGCTTATCAGCATTCTTTAGGGCCTTCCGCATATCTGCATAAGACCAACACCATCATTAATCAATGCTAGCATAATACACCAAAGCTAATTATTAGAGAACTACTTTAATGTAGTTTTAAACAATAGCTCTTTGCTATAAGGTTTGGTGAAGACATATACATTCCCTACATACTGAAAGGTATGCAGATGTAATGCCCAAACCCACCATCTGATTTATAAAAAATAATATTAAATAGGGCTATATTTGTATCACCAGTACAAATCCAACTAGATTACAGTGCTACACCAAGCTGTTATCAGTTTGTTGCTTCTTAAATTATGTAACTGTAACATTAAAAAAGCACCAAACTGGAGTGTTTTTTGACACATAAACGTAACAAGAGAGTAACGAGAACGTTTGGAAACTCAATCACTCACACAGAAGTTGAATGAGTTACATTTCTCGCCAGGAGGTGTATTCTACAAGGATTATTTATGGGGGATGTGATCAGTGACCCCAAAACGCTTTGTCTGTGTAAACTGAGGTTCTGGGAAAGACAGAAATAGACACCAGTCACTCGGAATAGATCATGATGTGTTTTTTCCACAAGGCCTGAATATAAATTACTTAAGGAATAAGTGAATCTTTGAATCTCCTTTTTTTTTCATTTAATCAAACCAAATTAGAGGAGAGAAGAAAGAACAAAAACTTTTGCCAAATTCTTTTGATGTAGGCAGGAAGTCAGTAAACCACAACCAGATGAATTTTCCAAGCAGCTGTTCAAGCAGAAGTAGTTTGTTTGACTGATGAGAAGTTACAACCAGGAGCTAATAGATACCAGAATAATGCACAGACAAGTTTTTATGTTGATACTGATATAAATAATGGTGAAGCCTTCTTTAATAAAAAAAAATAAATAAATAAATAAAGACCAGAGTTTCTGGGAGTTTCTGAGAACAGTGTCTTTGGTTTTTCATTATTAAAAGGCTTCACTTTCTAGAAGTGTTATTGCCGTCTAGTCTCAAAGCAGCTGTCCTCATCCCAATTTGAAGGGATGATTTCCCTTGGCAAGAGGGCCTTGCATTACTTTGACGATATTTATTCTTTATAGTTATGAATATATGGACTAGAGGTTATTCTGTTATTTTGTTGACTCGTGTTCAATAATGCAATATGTTTTATATGAGTGAAATATATGGATATTACATCATTAAAAATGAATAACAGACAACAGCTCTTTCTGCCCTGTTCATAACATGGCATGACTTTGCTAAAGACAAGGTACAGTACACGTGTAGGGACATAAAATAATGAACAACTTAAAGGAATAACTGTGAAGCAGCAGATGCGTTAAAATCTGAACATTCATTAAGTTTCAAAAATGGAGAGTAGTTTTTTATGTAAACAAAGTTTTCCAAAAGTTGGAAAAAAAAGCACAAATATCTATAATCATCCATAATCCATATCCATAATTGTAAACCTGGGAGAAGTTAGCAGATGTTTGCCTGAAGACCAGAGATTACACGTTGGGTTTTGAGTGTTTTCTTTTTTTTAAAGGAGAACATTTGTAATGCAACATCATCGTTACTGCTCTGTGACCAGTGTTGCACTAAACCCCAATGAGATGCATTGTGGGGGGGTTTATCTT